AAATAAGCACGTGGATGGGATAAACCAGACATTTTACATTTATTATTTAAAGTTTTACAGCTATAATAAAGGTTTTTAAAAAAAAAAAAAAAAAAAGCTACATTACTTCAAATAAATGCAATGCAATATATAGTCATGATAAATTTCCCTGCCCTTGCAACCTAATTATGTAAGATGAGATCTGTGTGTATCTAAGGAACAGGATTAGGGCCACTGAGAAGAAAAAAAAAAAAGTAAAACTGATTTTAAAATTTTATTTCAGTACAATATGAGGAAAAAAAACTCAGAATTCTGGCTTTTTTTTTCAGAATTCTGACAGCTAACAAACATGTTAGCATCAAGCCGTAGCCATATGTGTTTTAAAGAACAAACTAGCTCTCTTGTTTTAATCACCTTCTGTCCTTACATTAATTAAATAGCATCTTTGTGTTAAATAGCATCATGTAAAAAGTCACCTAATTCTGTAACTTTTCATCAATGTGTTACTAGCCTTCACAAACAACTCACATCTTTGTAAGTGAAGCTGAGTGCTCCACATTTCTTCCTTCATGGTGCCCATCTACATTAAAATCCCAAATTCTGAGANACCTTTTCTTCTCTCATTTCATTATGCCACTTCTTTACATTATTTTTTTATTCTTGCTATGGACCTGGTGCCCAGGATCCTACATGAAGTCTGAATACAAAATTAAATCTCACAAGGAGAACACATTATGAATAACGGGAAGTACCAGAAAAACAAGAACAGAAATTGACAAGCTGACATTTTACAAGCAACTCCAAAAGAGTTGGATAGCTGTGCAGCAAAACAAGGACCATCAGCCAAAGGAAGCTGCTTGCTTATGGAAGAGATTTAAGTTCACGTGTTGTAACTGATTTGCGACTCTTTGAAAAGTAAATGTCTTGTAAAATCACAATATATTCTCCAGCAGAAGCTGATGTGGGGAGTAAAAATTATTATTGGCAAAAAAAAAAAAAACAGAAATAAACTAAAAGCACACAAAAACAAACAAATCTCATAAGTTATTCACACTGTTATAGTGAAATAAGCACGTGG